AGGGGGGGGGGGGGGGGGAGAGGGGAGAAAGAGAGGGTATATATCCAAAAACACATAATTTAAAGATTATTTGCATCTAAACCCCTCAAATCATGGGTATTTGCATAAATGCCCCCAAATCTTAGTATTTACTACCCATCAAATCATCAATTTTGAAAAAGATACCCCTAAAATCAACAAATCATCAACTTGGTAATAAAAACATGACTATTTTGTTGATAATGTTTACATTGCGATTACGAATTAGCTTATCAAAGTTGATAATTAATTACTTTGAGGATATTTTTTCACAATTGATGATTTAAGGGATAGTTTTGCAAATACTGAGGTTTGAAAGGTATTTTTTGCAAATACCCATGACTTAAGGGGTATATGTGCAAATAACCCTAATTTAAAATGCTCAAAACTAACCGGTGATGATTGGAGATACCTTATTCTTATAATTTAACCATTTTTCATACCATATTGTTGCTGGAGCAACAAAATATACGTTATTGATAAACATATATAGGTAATAAATATATAAATGTGATAATTTAGCCTTTTTTTTAACCTAACTTACAATTTTCCTCATTTCCCAATTTCTCTCCTTCTTCCCTAATTTCCCTACTTTTCCAATTTTTTTTGCAGGCGGCCATGAAAGCTCTCTTCAAATCATACAATGGTTCTTCAAGTCACAGTGCTTCTCAAGAGAAGGAAACTAGGGTGTGATTGATTGGGGTAAATAATAAATAGTGAAATTGGGAGATTGTCTAAAGGTAAAACATCTGAAAACCGCCTTAATTCTGGACGATTACCAAATACCACCCATAACTTTCAAAAAAGCATATAAAAAAAACTTAAATAAAAACAAAAACAACAAAACAAAAAAAAAAAAAAAAAAAAAAAAAAAAAAAACTGTAAGAGTTTATCATAAAACTCTCTTTAATATTGAGATTATATCGAAGAAAACCCTCTTAAAATCATTATTTTTAGGGGGTTTCTTGATAAAATTTCAAAGTTAAAGGGTACTTTAATAATCCCTAAATTTAAAGGTGTTTTTTATACTTTTAAAAGAACAAAATGATCACTTCACCCTTAACATATTGATGAATTCTCAAGCTGTCTCCTAAATTATCAATTTACCTATTTTACCCCTTAAAATATGTTTTTGTGCCAATGTGATCATTTTTTGAGTCTAAAGTTAAATTTTTAACAAATTAATGACATTGTGATATTTCTTTACTTTTATTGTAATTTTTGCAATCTAAAAAATAATTTTTTTAATTCATAACAAGGGTTAAAGGATAAAATATTTTGAGACAAAATAGTTAATTTTTTTTAAGTTCGGAGAAAAAGGAGATAAACTAACAAAAACCAATGAAGAAATACAAAAAAAATACGGTTTTATTTATTTGTTAAATATTTGACTTTGTACACACAAAATGATCACATTGAAACAACAAACATAGTTTAAGGGGCATTGACGGTAAATTGATACTTAGTGTGCAACTTGAAAGTTCACCGAAACTTTAAGGAGGAAGGGGTCACTTTGTCCTTTTCAAAATTATGGGGGTGGGTGTAGCTCATAATCATTGAGAGTTAAAAAGGGATTTCCTAATACTGGGCCTTGTCTAACTGTTGAGGGGGTTACGTTAAATATGGGGGTTACGGTTGACTACTTTTCAAAAAATAAAATAAAAGACAACTTAAGATACTTAAGCGCTATTGTTTAAAATTTAGAATATTTAAATATAAAGGTGGCAAAACAATCAGGTATTTAAATGCCCATTAATAAATACTACACAAGCATAGCTATCGAAGCTTGATGCTATTGAGAAATCTTGAAGATCAGAAGCTATGACTTCGTACGGGAAAAAGTACAACATTTCAAGAACCTCGAAGGCTCGTTCATGATTCATAAAATGACAAAAAGTCAAGTTAATATATCCGCCACTTATTAGAACAGAACCAAGATTTTGTTCACCAGTTAACACCACCAGGCTTGGTCAGCATGCCGATCTTGACCCTTCAATCCTGTCAGTCTACGCGAGAATTTCAATCTATTTAAGGATCAAATGCCAACTACAACAAATCACCATTCAGACATCTGGAGCCATGAACTGACCGCAACCCTACGTCTCAGAGAATTCGGAGGAAGTAAATATTGATACAAAATCGCAAGAAAGCGATAAAACGGAACAGGTAAAAGGCCTGCGTTATGCATCAAAGGAAATGCGTCATACTCGTTAAATCACAAACACAAGGAAGCCCTATTCTAGCAACGAACAGTTATCTAGATTACAACTAAAATCAAACAAGTGAGGAGAAATACAGGAGCCAGAATAGGCGAGGAATGGCAGCAATAAGTGTCAATATCCGGAAAGGCACCTTTTGCCCATTTATGCATCATCGAGTAAAAATAGAGAGAAAAGAAGAAGAATTACACAACCACCGATCAGATCAGCAGCACTCACTCGCCCCTTTCCAAAACATTATGCGAGAAGAATCAAAATGATATTTGGCGAATTTCACTCTTTCAGGCGAGAAAGGACTCTTTCTTTGTGTTGTCGCATACATATATAAATGCTCGTAGGACAGAAGGGCTGCTTTAAGATGTACGGATGTAGTGCTAAACATACTAGCCACCTAAATCAAGCAGCCCCTAACATTGGATGCCCGACAGCTGCTGCATCAGTCAACTCTTCTGCCAGGAAAAAGCAAGCAGACGCTCAATTCCATGTCATTTAGGATCAGTTCCTACCGTTTCTTTATCGTGATTAATGTCGCCTACTGCAGACGTGCCGATCGATGGCGAAGAGTTGGGACCAGTGCTTATGGGTTCTTTTTCAAATTCAGATGAATTGGTAGAATGGCTTTCATTACTAGATTCTGGCACAGCTTCAGAAGCCAAATTAGTAGATTCAGGAGGTTCGCAATTACTCACATCTGATAAAGCTTGGTCTTCCTGATTCTCTGCTTCAGCAACATTAGAAACATCTGGAGTTGGTTTCTCATTAGGTATATTACCTGAATCGGATGTCTCCCTCCACTCAACCCACTTAGGTTCCTCCTCTGTTTCTTTAGATGAGCTGGAGGGTTCAGCACCATTTTCAGAATTTTCCACGGGCCCATTCTCTAAAACTGAAGTTTCTGTTACATTTGAATTGGTAACAGGATCAGAGGGACCAGACAATTCTAGAGATGTCGCTGTATCAACCAGGTCCTCATTCTCACCAACAGTAACATCATTGGTCTCATCAACATTAGATGATGGTGATGCAAGAGAGCCTGCAGTGTGATCATTGGCATTTCTGTCGTCCTCAAAAGCAAACCAGTTTGAATTCGTAAAGAGTGAACTGCTGCAAGAACAAAAAATATTGGTCAATCCACCAGACACAGCAGATTCACAATTTGCGCTAGTGCCTACAAGGTTTTGAAAGAAATATATGGCTTCAAAGAAACAAAAACAATATGGACCTCAAGGAAAAAAGTTTACAGTAAATGAAAGCAAGCATAAGTTCCCTTAAACCATGGATATATTTTATGAGTTTTAAAGCATTCATGAGTAGTTGTTTAGAAGTACCAAGCGATTGGATATCAAAAACATAAAATCAAATACTTTCAGCAAACAATTAGAACTTCCAACTGAAAAAAAAAAATCCAGAAAAGTTGAAAAGGATTCACGACTATTAGATGACAAATATTTCAGATGAAATTGCAACAGAATCAGAATGGACTCGCATCTTTGTAAGGAAAAATAGCATAACTACATATAAAATTAAAGTACCTATCCTGATCATCTCCCAGACGCAAGGATGAAATCACTACCTCTGCAGATTCATCATCAAAGTAGACATCCTGCATTGAAGATTACCAAAGACGGGATTTAGACTTTATATAACGGGGCAGGCTTTTATTCAGTAGGTTGGGCAGGCAATCAACGTATTTCTCATCCTAGATCATGGTAAACTTTTGAACAACTAAACTCTGTTAATAATCTAAAGTGGCTCCTTCAAGAGTTCGTTATCATCAAGCATTTTAGATTAAAAAAGATTGCCCAAATCCTTGGACAGTGAGATAGAAGAGGTGCCATTATCCAAAAAACAATAAATTAATCTTCATTTACTGTTACAAGTAAAAGAGGTGAAAATCTGATGAAAGAAAGCATAAAATAATAGGAATCCTCAATAATAATACCTCATCATCTCGTTCTAGTGATCCATGTGCCTGTATAAAAATCAGGGACAGAATATAGAAGACTGCTTAGTACATCAGGTTTATAAACCAATATAGATCATAAAAACTTTCAAATGGCACAAAGCTAGAGACAAATGCTAGAAGATCCCTTGTTTACAGTTTTCTTTTGGCTGTGCAGCTGCGACTGGCGATGTTCAGCATGTGTCTTGATTGGTGGGTTCTGGCGTGTGCCAACCCATTTCTTTTAGGGCGGGTGGTATTTCTTTCTTTCCTTTTACTGTGACAGTTTTTTGTTGTTTTTTTTTTGTTATTTGTTTTTTTTTGGGGGGGTGGGGCCTGTGAAACAGGTTTAGTACTCCTACAGAAACTGAAACAATTTTTTACCTCTTCAATATCATCATTACTATAAATTCCATAACGAAATGCTTGGCTCAAGTTGTTAGCCAGTGTCGCCACATCATAATCCCTGTCACGAAAATCTTCATCATCACTATCCCTGTTTCTGTCATGTAATGAAGTGGGACGCCTGTAGAAAAGAAAAGCACGACCAAAAAGTTCTTCAATTCCACATACAGACATTATATGAACACAAACCAAAAGGGAGAAAAAAGGAAGAAAAGAAATAAAAGGCGAAAATACAAAATGCTAGTGTCAGAACATTGTTGAAGGTACTAAACAATTTGAATACTATCTGACAGACATCACCAATCACCATAATTAATCTCAACAAAATAAATGACTTGGGGAAAAAAGAGTAGTCACTCCACAGTATAATTTTAACTTAACAGACCATTTTTCACGACTTTAGAGTTTTAGAACTGAAGCCTGTAACATCAGAGGAACATCCAATTCCAGCCTTTCCTTTGGAGAAAAAAACCTACAGTGAGAACTCCCAACTGGGACTGCCCGTAAGCAGCCTACATCTTCTTTCAATCTTTAGATGAGACAAAGGCTTTACAATAATGACAAAATAATGGGGGTGAAACTAAGAAACAAACATCTAAGAGCGCTACAAACTTAAACACACGTAGCTATAGAGAAACCAAGTAATATGTTGAGGTTTATTGGGTTCAAAAGCCTTGCATTTCTGACTGATAACCAAAATAACACATTTTCTTAAGTTAATTGGGCATAGAACAGGATGAAACTAACTTGTCCATAGCGTTTTGGGTGCTTACCTAGCACCCGAAATAGGTCATACACAGGGTTGAGAGCCCTATATCCATACCTGAGTATCATATGGCTGATGTATATACTTCCTTAACTCTTCCCATATCAAGATTGCATTTGATATTGTGGGCAAATAAAAGGATATGTGAGTCCATTGGAATAGATGGCAGTATTGGTAGACGCCAGAGAACATCATGCCTTGGTCTTGGTTCACACAAAACCAATCTTATAGGTTCAACCAATTCATTTGCAGGTTAGACCAGATTTGAATTTTTTTGGGTCAACCTAAAGTTTAAATTTTGGAGCTGAAATTTTCTCTCTCCATTAATCAGAATGGGAAGAGTTAAATCATTTCAAACAACACATTACACGCAACACCTTTTAATCTTTATTCAACTAAATCCAAATTACAATCAATTTTATATCAGCTATTGGCCCCAATTTCAGCACTGCTTTGGATCGATATGTGGCCAAATAACTGCGGAACTCAGGTAATTGGAGCTGCTGAATCCATCCCTAGCTTTCTGGGTTCATACTTAAGAGTGAAAAATTACATCTACCGACTAAAGAACTATTCAATAAGGAATGATTACCAACTAAAGAACTACTACTTCAACAAGGAAAGATATAAAAGTAATATGCTAAAACCAGAAGCACAGAACCCCTCGCCAGGAGGAAAATATGATATAGAGGTTAAACTAGCCTCACATTACAGTCATAGATGAAGCACTATATGTAATGACAGGAATCTAAAGATTATATTAAAAAAAGCTACAGATATAACTCTCGGCAAACATGCTAGCGGATTCACTCCATATGCTAGAAAGTGTGTGCAATTTCCTAAATGCATAATAATAGGAAATTTACAGATTATACTCATCAAAATTATAGATTATAACTTTCTCATAAATACAATCAGGTCAAAAAAGTCATCAAAGTAGTGCTAGAAAGGAAAGAATCCAATATCTCTGCATATTGAAATAGCACAGCAATTCAATGAAACTACAGAAAAATTTGTCAAGAAACATACCCGCAAGCCCATTGATAAATGTTTTCAACTGCATTACGTTTTATTAGGATATTTGTATGCCAATCAACCCACTCAGTATTTTCCTGCAAATCAATAAAAAGCTAAATTGAATCAGTTTTCTTGGTTCAAGAAAATGAATCTCAATGCAACTACAAACTAGCAATGTTTTCAACGAGACAAAACTCTAGATAAGAGATAATAGGAACTTTGAATAATACAAAGGTTGCAAAATGTCAACACATGCAATGATGCATGCATGAAGAAAATATATACATATGTACATTTGACAGTCTGTGAGTTATAAATGCACAGCATACATAAATGTAACATGCACACGGTGCTGATCGCACAGGAATAAAAGGCCTACAATCGCAAGTAGGGAGGAGTACTGTGAATTCATGAAGAATATTTAAGTGAGTGTCATGACTTCAGGAAGGGGGGAAAATCATCTGATGCTGATAGGTGATCCACTAAAGCCATATCCACATTAGGACATGTTAAGCAAAATCAAACATGCAGCTGCAAAAAGTCAAAAGCTAACAAACATGAAATAAGGAAGGTAACTCTACTCAAGAACCTCCTAGAGCAACTTAAAGCTTATGTTGTAGCCTTGTAGGCAATGTTACATTAAACGCAAGGCGCTCCTAGGCACCGGACTTAGCGCCCAGCGCTTAGATGCCTAGGCGGGCGCCTAAGAGGTATCTGGGCGTTTTTTTTTCTTTTTTTCTTTTTTTAATTGTGATACTTGAAGATAAATATATATATACTCAATCAACAATGCATAAATACAAAAATACCAACACATATGCTATCCAAACTATATATATATACTCAATCAACAATGCATAAATACAAAAATACCAACACATATGCTATCCAAACTATAATAGTCAATCAAAGATGCATAAACAATGCATAAATACAAAAATACCAACACATATGCTATCCAAACTATAATAGTCAATCAAAGATGCATAAATACTAAATGGCAAGGCATATAAACTCTCATGTATATACTTAAAATTAAACTTAAACAATTAAACAGTTAAACTTAAATAATAAATTAAACTTAAATAATAAATACAGTTAACCAGATTCAATGTGTAATTCTTAGACAGAATCTCAAAACAAGAAATATATAAACTTTCACATGTGTAATTTCCCTTACTGTTAACTTATTTTTGTAGGTCAAAAATTGCAACTTCATTCGTTATTGCTGCAACTTCAAAAACTGCAACTTATTATTGTTCTATTTTGTAGGTAAAAAACGGCAACTTCAATGCTGCAACTATCACTACTGTTGTGTTTCAATATGTTGTTTCTCAAGGGCCTTATTATATTAACAGAAAAAAACTTTGTATGTACAGTTGTAATCTTTGAACAAATGCAGAGGATGAACATGACAAAGCCAAATGTAGGGACCATAATTTTATTGATCATGAGAAACTACAGCAGCAGTCATAAGTCTGTTGTGGTGATGCATATTATGTTGTACACTCAGATACTTTTTCATATGAAATAGGAAACTTATAAGCTCTCCGAAATACTCCAATGAGCACGGAAAGAACTACAACCAATATTGTCTTGCTTATATCAATTCTGAAAACTGTTTAACAATCTTTGCAACTGTAGGTTACCAAGCAATGCAATAGTATATTTGATATATGGAGAAAAACATCAATATGCCCGAGTGAAATGTAAACTGATTATAGGAATAAATCTGAAAATGCTGATCATATTTTTCTCTGAACTTAGCCTTCATAGTTAAAAAAAACAATCCAAATCTGTTGCAGTTAATCTGATTGATTATTTAGGGACTGCTACTGTCATAATGTATTTTATACATAGTTTACACACAGTTTAATATTAACTTAAAATTAAACTTCAAATTAAACTTAAACAATTAAACAATTAAACTTAAATACTGTTTATATTTACAGACCCTTTACTTTAGTCCTTTACTTACAGAGATTACAACTGTATAAGGCTTCAAGATGATAACGAGGGCAAGATAGAAGTCGCCAAGTCGGAGATGAGAACGAGAACGACGACGAGTAACTTCGACGAGATCGAAGACGAGCTCCCAGGTTGAAGACAAGCTCGGAGGTTGAGATCGAAGACGAGCTCGACGAGATCGAAGACGAGCTTGACGAGATCGAAGACGAGCTCTCAGGATCGAAGACGAGTTCGATATTCGTGGCGGCGTTGGGTGAGTGAGATTAGGGTTTTGGGTTTTGGGTTTCGGTTTCGATTTTGGGTTTGGGTTTTTCAGCGCCCAGGCCTTGTTTTTTTCCTTTTAATTGTGAGGTGGGCCGCATAAGCGGCCTGCTCAGCCTTGGACGGCCGCCTAGGCGCTCCCACCACCTAAATGTGGCCGCTCAGGGCATTTTTACACGCCCTAGGCACCGCCTCCGCCTAGGCGGTCGCCCAGGGTGTTTTTTACAACACTGGTTGCAGGTTCCATTAAACTAGATTGTCCGCTCACCAACTCTAGCATCTCAATATATAGGGCCTATTTGGCTTCTCGTTAGTTTACTGAAAGATTCACTAAAGTGATTTCAGTTTCATAAATAACAAAAAATAAGAAGAGTTTATTTTCTGTAACTCTTCTTGTCAAGTACAATGAGCTCACCTTCTTCTAAGACAGGCTTTTAAAGGCAATCAAAAAACAGTTGCATTCACTTTTTCTTATTTTTTCCAAAAATAAAACTATGCAAGCATTACAATATCACACATGTAAAATAAATGCCTAGGCAAGAGTGATCAAACCTGTAAATGAGCCTGAATTATATTGTTGTTATTCCCAAACTGAATAATCTTGTTAGCTATTCGAGTCAAGTGTCCAACATTTCCTATCCGGGGAGGTGATCTTCCCTGTGCAGACACTGTCGGCTGCAATTTGAAGTAGCCAACATGAATGATGATAAACAAAACTTCAAAGATGCATATAGATATCATGCTTTCACATAGATACAACTAATGACAACATAGACAGCCTGTGTGTGTATGTGTGTGTGAGAGAGAAAGAGAGGGGAGGGGGGGTTTAAAATGGAAACTCTATCTACAATAATTACCTTATTACAGTCTGTAATTAATGTTGATTGCTTTTCCGCTGCAAGAATTTTACCAACCACCTGGCATTCATGGAAAAGGTGCTCCACAAGCACAGTCCTCTTGCTCTCCAGACAAGATCCTATGATGTTCTCCACATAGTGATGCAAAAAATTATTGAAAGGGTACCTACGACCAAAGAGATAAACAATGTGAACTTCCAAACAATTCCACAAAATTCAAAAAGAAATGTCAAGCAAAAGCAACTTACTCAAAAAACATATCTAAAATGCGTTGAATAGCTCCTAGCCGAATTAGTTCTTTTTCAGCAGCTTCACTTCCAATTGTCAATAGAACAGAGATGAAGTCCACAATCTAGAATCAAAAAGGAAAATTTTTACATAGCAAATAGAATGCATGAATTAAATGTACTTCACTCACTTCACTCATGAAATGTCCTTAATCAGATTTTTTCACAAAGTTCTTAAGAGAGATTTTATGTATTGGAAGTAGCCAAACAAGAAAAACTACAACCATACCAGCACACTAGGGAAACTGGCAAACATATCAAAGAACATAGAGATATTCTAGCCGATACATGTATCATTGCTTGCTTGACAAACATGCCTTCTTACCAGACAAAAGTATTATTGCTTCCACCTAAATGTACCTCATGCATGCTGTTCAACCATGAGAGGGTCGCCATGCTAGATACTCTGGGTTCAGAAAGACATGTAAACAGAAGAAATATCCAACGGAAAATATACAAGAGGCTGAAGGTGAGTTTTTATAGCCTTAGGCACAGTGTCATTTTTTTGGAATAAATAGGAAAGCACTCAGAGAACTAAGAGATGGCCAACGATCAATGAACAATAATTTGGAGATAGATCACTGCACCAATCTGATTGAACTGGACGCTTGAATATCAGAATTTGGGATCTTGTTGAAGTGGTGGCAGTGGAAGGTATTTTCTATTTCCATGATCATTTCTCTAACACAGGTACAGTTATTCTGCATGATTTTCCTAGAGTTAGTGATATCCCCAAGTCTAGGTTTATATGGGAGATTTCTTTAAAGTACAAGAGAAGTGTAGGCGGTACTGGTTGCTGTCTTCAACTCTTATTTCATACTAGATTATGACTTGTTCCAAGTTGATTTGCATCATCCGAAAAGAGTTTCAGAAATATCGCAAGAAGTCTGTATGAAATTTCCTCCGAACTTCCTCCCAGGTATTTAACATGAGCTAGGACAAGTTTCAAAGCTAAAGAGATAAAACTTTTGTGTTAACCTAGTCCAACAGCCAAATTCTCCATGTACCACTCCCAGAAAACCAGTGGTGCTTAAATCGGTGTCGTGATCCTCTCCTTTTCTGTTTAGATCCTCCTGGATCAGATTAGTACACAAGCTAGTAACTCCACTGAAAAGAAGGAACCCATATGATCAGGGAATCCAATTCATCTCCAATCTCAGAAAACAAAAATGATCTGGAAGAAGACGACTCTCTTTGGAGGAAGGATGTGTTCTCCATGCCCAAGTAGGAGAGGAGTACAATAGTTGGAAAGAAAATTGATGACAAAGTATTGGATATCATGGAGACAAAGAATGAAGTAGTTGTTGAGAAAGGAAAATTGCAGACAAATTGTAATATAGTGCTACCAAATAACACTGTTATAAATAGCGGTAAATAGCCCCGCAATAACGACGCTAATAGCGTTAGCGGTCCCTTCCCGCTACGCTGTCGCCTGATAGCGATAACATATTACGGAATATGCGTTTTTCGCTTGCAAAAGCGGCCAATAGCGCATCACAGCAGTGAATAGCGGGCGATTGCAGGCAAAATCCACTTTTTGATCGCTATTTAAAAGTAGTTTGAGATTTATTTTTTAAAATTAAACCCAACCCGAAACATCTACATCCCACCGCCTCCCCCGCTTTCCGGCATTACTCCCGCCGCCTCTCATAGCCTCTGGCACCTCCTCTTACCGTGAGATTCTCCTAGTCCTCTCACCGCTTAGCTCATCTTCTCGAAGACGATGACTCTTTTAACTCTAGTTGTCTTTGGTATTATGTGATGGTTACATGTCTATTTTATGTTTAGGATCTCTTTAAATCATTAAATGCACTTCTAGATTTTCTAAACTTTTCTATAACTTTTCTTATTTTTTTAATATTTATACATATCTAAATTAGACTGTTATTTGACTTTACGCTTTTTACCGCTATTTTGCTGCAATAGCCCATAACCTTGCCAAATAATAATTTGGTCTAAAGACAAACTTAGATGGGAGACCAGAGGGGAAAAATTAACAAAAGATTGACCAGTGTATCGGATAGAATTCTGACTAGCAAGTAGCAAGTAAATGACAATAATTTAACAGGTGAAAAGAGTGTGGAATGAGATTGATAAATACAGGTGATATATGTTCCCATCCCACAAAGAGAATGTACTACTATCTATCAAACAATATTGTAGCACAGATTATCATAATATTTTAAACCTGCAAATTAACTTAAGAGAGTTACTTTTAAACTACATGATTAATATTAAAATTATCATGTAGACATTATATAAGAACATAATCTCACACACAAGATCAACATAGTACAGGAGGCACCAAGGGGCACAGAATGAATATAACCCCCTTTGACCTGTCTCTACATGGATCAGTAAAAAGACACATCGTTAGAATTTGCTTGGAGTTCGTTACCTTCAGGCGATGCTTTCCAAGAGGTGGTTGTAGGCTCCCATAAGTAGTTGGCAAGATGGTTTCGGAAGAAGAAACATCCAACAACTTTAGCAAATCACCTGCAATGACATATGGACAATATCTGCTTTATGTACACTTACACAAAAACACACATTTAATTTCCAGTAATAGGAGGATTTCTTCAAACAAAAAAGGGGTCTAGAATATCCAAATTGTAATCTAATAGGGCAGGTTGAAATTTATGTAAATGGAATTTTTGAAACAACTAGAACAAGGCCTTTATCCCAAATTTTTGGGGAAATGAAATTATTGAAGAATCAGAATTATAATTGACCAAGAGATGCTACCAATTAAGAATACTCGTTTCATCACTAAGCCTTTTCCCATCAAGATATAGCCATCTATAAAACTAATCTAAGAAAGCTCTAAAAAATTAACCTAACATTTACAATCAGCTACCAACTTAAAAATTGATCCTCTTAACTGCGGCATATTTAGTAAGAGAGAGAGCCCCCAAAAAAACAGCACTACCTTCATCACAAGCAGGTAAAGTCATAAGTGCTCTTAGCGAACTCAAAAGTCTGTTTTCTCACATGAAAATGGAAATATTAACGTTCTAATAATTAAATAGAATTTGCAGAAGAGGAAAAAAATTAGAGTATCAAAGACAGCCAAAGACAATGTAAAAAAAACGAGATGCAAATTACCTAAAAGTTATGCAACTTAAAACCATTGTTGAATGGAAAACAATTTTGCTTTACATAAAATAACAAACCTTAAATTTTATGTAATCTTTTGAAATAACTCAGCGACGTCATGTCTCAACCTTATTACAATGAAGCATACACTACTCAAATATATTGTACGATATTTCAATATAACATGTGTTATTTCAATATAACCTACGTTATTTCAATGTAACATGAGTTATTCAGTATAACCTACATTATTTCTATATAATTGATCATAGAGACTTCAGAATATTTTCTTTGTCTAAAACTTGAAATAGTTAAGTATTTACTTCTGAATAGTTTCTCAAGACTTAATGACTTCTTTAATTGACATGATTATTCTTGTAATGGTATATTTGATACTAATGAAGATTATATTTATTAAAACAAATGTAAACTTTTTTGCATTTATTAAATATTTAAATAAACGGTAAAACATGTAACCTACATTATGACTTATGCTAATTGTGTTACGTCAAGTGTTATGTGATGTGTGATCTTCATTTTCAACATAAGACACTTTTTAAAGATGACCAAGATATTCTGAATAAAATTCAACCAAGCAGAATGCATCTTTGAAATGAAAATAGAAAGGAAACATTTCATGACAGGATAAGCCACCTACCTAGGCTCTCCAGCATCCCATCAACCATCTCTGGATTAGCAGTAGTCAATGACCCATGACTGAATTGGCTTCGAAATGATTGATATGTCGATGTCACTAATCTCTTAGGATCCAATAAAGACATGCATACTGTTAGCGAGTGAACAAGAACAGATTTCGGTCTTGAATCTTCCAAAGCATGACGCAATAACCTTCCCACAAAACTACAAGGGAAAACAGAGTGCTAACGTTAGCGAAGGTAAAGTAGAATACAGAAGACAATAAATGATCCAAAAGAGAGTAAACCACATGCATCTACATAGGAAGTGTTGCATTCATTAAATACCAGGCAATGGAAGACTACCTTGGGCTGCAAATCTTAGTAGCAAGTCCTGGAGGAGCGTTCCGAGTTATTGCACAAAGGACTTCAGCCGCATTGGCATGCACCTCAGGGGAATCCTGTTTGAAACATGGAAAGTAGAATGAAGTTCTAAAATATAAATTCTCAAGCAGCATCTAAGGCCAAACTCCAAACCCATATAATTGAACCCATCATTAAAACCTAAAACTTACTTCACATATTGAGCATTAACAGAAAAATCATTTATCAATCAACTTGTAGACATAAAATAACTCAAATTTTGGAAACAAAACTAGCCGAAAACTACATAATACATTTTTCTTGATGTACTGTTATTATTCTTGCATTAACTGAATTTTTAACACAACCTTCTTGACCTTATGAAGCAGTTGTATGTAACATACTTTGTGGTACTATAAGCAATTATACATACGAGTAAAAGATTACCGATTTGTATTGTATTGATTTGACTATTACCCTTCTGTTTAACGACGTCGACATGCTAAATCACATCACAACATGACCAGCATGCAAAACCCATTGAAAGACGGGAGATTACAGCACTTCATCAGATTCTTCTTCTAGGGAAAATCAGAACAATTAAAGCAGATGACATCAGTATAAGAACTCACCGATGAGCTAAACTTGTCAACAATCATCTCAAGCACATTCGTCTCTTCTAACCACGGAATTGGTTCCGTGTAGTTGGAGTACATATTTTCATCAGCCCCAATTAGCCGAATAAGTACCTGTTCATAAAACCGATATGACGAGAACTCCAATTTTACATAGAGAATGAAGTACATAGATGAAAAAGGACAATATTCAAAACTCTAGATGAAAAAGGACAATATTCAAAACTCAGTTTAGTTATTAAGTAAAATCTTACCTCCATAATAGATGTAATGCCAATCAGATCAACCAGCTGACAGAAAATCTCCTGATGATCCTATATAACCAGAAGGTAAAATGTTCACAAGAATTCTAACAAAAGCAACAAAAAGGCTTTCTGAAACATTGCTACTCCAAGAATTACTAAAAATAATGACAAAAGAAATAGAGGATGAGGAATGACAGTGATGCAGTTCTGCTAAGAAATAATGAAAAAAACAAAATAAAATACATTAACAACAACAAAGCCTTTGTCCCAAATGTTTGGGATTGGCTACATAAATCTTATTCTTCCATTCCGTTCTATTTTTTACCATCTCCTCCGTTAAGTTAACCATTATCATATACTTCTTACTGTTCTATTAATTGCTCCCAACCAAGTTCTTTTAGGTCTACCTCTAGATCTGTATGTCCCATGAACTATAATATTATCACTTTCGCTAACCAGTGGACTAAGAGGTCTCCATCGTAGATGATCAAACCACCTTAGTCAATTCTCTTTCAATTTATCCTCAATAGGAGCAACAACTAATTTACTGCGGAGACACTCATTTCCCATCCTATGTTTTAGCGAATACCCACAATACCATTGTATCATTCTCAATTCTACTTCACTAATTTTTTGCACATATTTTTTAATTGCCCAACACTTTGATCCATAAAATATTGTTGGTCTTATATGATACACCACTCCCCTAAAAAGCAGGGAGATAAACAAAATTGCTACTTATTAAGTCTGTATTCGTCTACTATCACGGATACAGGATATAAATATTTTTATACCATTCAATGAGGAAAATTAATAGTCCATATACGCCAAAGTTGAATATTGATACAGATTGAATTAGAGAAATATATACGGATACAAAATAGACATAAGCGGAACATGAAAGATTATAAGTCAAATGATACATGGGTTGTTTACATAAACTAAACTTTCTCAAACCAAAGTCAATCAATATCTCTGACATATTTAAAAAGGGTGAACTTAGACCTCTAAATCCAAAAATGGTTTAATCTAAGGTCAAAAGAACTGCAACAAATTGATTGATATTTTTAAAGAATACTAAGAATATGCTAATGGATATATGGAGATATACTGAAAAATATCTTGCGAATTTTCAGTAGATTCATCATACTCGAAGTATCACATGTTTAATCATTGTACAATAAACAGACTGTTCGACTCTCATAGAACCTGAGTCAAATTCACAGGTACATGTATTCAAATGTGGTCCAGGATATTTTACTTATATCTATATCTTAATTAGTGTCCTATCAAAAATTAAAGAAGACATCCTTATCCACATAATACCGGATTAGATATGTCGTATTCATGTCCATATCCTATCAGATACAGATAATGATATACCCTTGGATATCCATAGTCTTTTGCATTTAGTTATGCTTCGTATATCCTCAACTGAAACGACTTCTAACTTTTATTACAACTAGTATAATGCACGTGCTTTGCACGTAAACGTACATGTTTTAAGCTTTGAATATTTTATTAAATAGTAAAACTATGTGTTAATAAATAAAATTTTATTGTAATTGAAATTTTTTCTAATGATCGCTTAGTGTTAAGCTTCTTTTAAATAAGTCCCCAAATCTAAAATTGTTCTTAAATAAAACTATCAATTCTATAAGTTCTATAAAATATGCCACTCCAACTTGAAAGTTTTTAATTTAACTCTAGATTAACTAAACTAAATTAATCTCAATAGATTTTTCCTAATATTCTCTAGATGGTTATACTTGATACCTGCAACATATTACAATAGTTACTTCTCATTATAATTATTTAATAGGGTAAATTACACTATTTTATGAACTTTCAACTCATATAAACTTTTAATATTACACAAAACACTAATGACTTTTCTGTTTCAAAGAAAACCCCTAATAACTTTCTAAATTTTGCTAATAACCCCTACAAATTAGAACCAGAAAATGTCATAACAAGGCATTTTGAAAATTATTGAGGGCTTAATGTAATTTATCTAAAAGACATTGGAGGTACTACATAAATTATTACGGGTTTAGTGTGATTTCAAAAGTTCATAGGGTCTATTTACTACAAAATGGTGAAAGTTCATGGGGGTTTACTGTAATTTATATTATTTAATATTAAATTTCTTAGTTCAAGTAATACCATTAAAATAATTATATTGCCTATATATATATAATATTTATCTAATTTAATTTTTTAACTATGCTCTTAAATAATTTAGTACTATTAATATTTTATAAATCTTCATTATACTATTGTATTAATAGTATAATTATTAATCTTAAATAATTTTTTTATAAAAAGATTAGTTTTCAATCACTATCAAGTATAGATTATTTAGTATCATCAAATAATCTTTGAGAAAATACTCTAAAATTTATATTAAATTTTGTTTATTTTTATTTAATAATATAATACTAAATAAATAGTGTAAGCCATAATTTATGTGATATTATTAAAATAATTATACTATTTATGTGATTTAAATTTTATTCTATTTATTTTATTGCTCAGTGAATTATAGTATATTTCTTCATAGTATTTAGTAATATATTATTCTATTTATACTATTATTTTAATTATTTTATTATAATTCATAAATAAATATTATAATAATTTAATTGGTTACTATTAATAATTGTGTATACTTACTTTATAGATTATTTTATTTCATTATTTTTTAAATAATTAATAGTTATAATATTATTGATAATTATAATTATCTAGGAAGGTGATGAGATGCATAATTAATAAGATGTTATATTTAATAAAAGATTAATAAGAGATAATGGCATAATTAGAATTTATCAAAATTTGAGAGGGCAAAAATGGAAATTAGAAGTTTTTAACACCCCAATCCTCTTTTTATAGTAGTATAGATATAGATATAGATGTACTCATTTTTTATATTGATTTTCAGCAGTGTTGTAAATAGCGGCCAATAGCGGGGCTATAGCGGCGCGAATAGCGGTCGCGGCCCTTCAGCGCTACGCGTAGGGGTTTCGCAGCTGGCTTAAGCGGGAAAATCCGCTATTCATTCGGATAGCGCGTAAAAGCGGATTTTAGCGGGTTAAAAGCGGGTTTTCGCGGTTAAAAGCGGGTTTTCGCGGTTAAAAACGGATTTTCGCGGTTAAAAGCGGATTTTTGTTGTTAAAAGCGGCTAAACCCACTAAACCCGCTATCACACATATTATGATGCTATATTTCTTGAATTTCTTCATAGTTTCATTCATACAACAAGCTTATTAATTGTTATTTATTGATAATACAAAAAATTTACAACTAATTGAATTTTTAGATTTTTTATGAATTTTTTTATTATTTAGGATATTTAAATATATTTAAATTTGACCGCTATTTGATTGTGCACTATTTGCCGCGATTTCGCCGTAATAGCCCGATATAGCCTTAGCGGTACCTCGCCGCGACGCGCCGCGATCCGCTATCAGTAACCTTGATTTTCAGCATATGTCCCTTAAATCATCTCAAGAATTCTCAACCTAACTTTAGTGAGTGAGAAGTATAGCCAGTTGTAAGACCATGATAGAAATTTCCCTTTCAATTTCTTCGGTATTTATCATGAGAATATACTCCAACACGTGTCCACTTTCATTGCTCCAATTTTGATTCTATAAACCTTATCTCGCCATTAGTGATTGATCCTTGGAATGGAAATGGCATACTTAGGCATTTCTCATATGTGAAATATATTGTTATTTTTTCTTGTAGTCAATGTTTTAAATGTCGGTCGCCATATCAGACATGACGGTTTTAGCACCAAACCGCCACAATATTGAGCAACTTATTGCGAATGTCGATTTGAGGGTAATATCAGGGATATTGCGGATCGTGACAGACAAATCGGGCTTGATCACAGGCTCAAAATTGCGTCCGGTATGAATTGTTTTAGTTTTAGCCTTACTGGATTTCAAATATAAGGTTAGAAACCACATCCAACCCAACCCAATTACCCTATTCCTAACACATAAACCTCCTAATCGGTCTTTTAGGGCAAAATTTTGCCCCAATCCATCACGACTCATAACTGAAGCATCTTCGTCTTCAAGGCTTCGACATTAGGGTTCTCTCTCTCTCTCTCTGACGCAACTAAGGCTTCGACTAGAAACTAGGTTTTGGGGCTTCGGCTAGAAACTAGGGCTTGAAGGCTCGTCACTCATCAAGTACTCCCTCCCATTTCTGTCTCTTCATCTTTCTCTCCCTCTCAATATCCTTATGTCCCTCATATTCCTCTCTCCCCCCCCCTTCCCTCCCTCCCTCCCTCCTCCCTCTTTTCCTCCCCACACTCTCTGGCCCTCTCTCCCTCTCTAAGTCTCATCCTCTGAGTCTCAATCTCTATATCCCTCTCTATAAGTTTGTATTTGAGTTATATGTTATTTATTTACTTTAGTTTAATGTAGTTAGGTATTTGGGTTCGAATATGTTAGATATTTGAGATGGAACGTTGATTTCTTTTATACTATTAAATTGGTACAGTAATAGATTAATAATGTGGATTTGTTGAATAGTTTCTACAATCGGTTATTGATCCTAAACATCAAATGGAATTTACTCTTTTATATGTTTAAGACTATAGGATTTATTAAGCTTGCTTAGATTGCATTTAGGTCATTATATTATGCATATACCCACCATCAAATATGGCAATCCAATATTTAGTACATATTCCCCAACATATCCCTGATTTTCACTATTCAACATGAATTTTGACCATCCAACATGAGCCCGACATGGATTTTAACCGTCCGACATGAGTTGGACATCCAACATTTAAAACTTTGCTTGTAGTTTTGCATCATTAGCTATTCCATTTCTATATTATGCAAATTATAAACATCTTTGCCAAACTCCCAATTATGATCAATGATCGATCTTCTCGGAGGATATGATATTTTTCAAAGTTTCTCCATCAACAATTTCAAATATAGGCTTACTTCTCATAGTTTTGCAAATTTTAATTCCAACATCCATTTCTACAATGAAGACAAATTATAATCTTGTTCTTTTGCTCAAGGGTTCGTATATTTCAAACTCTTTTTGATAAGCTTACATTGTGGTAGCTAATGTAATCCAAGTTGCACATACAAGCTTCTACATCCCTTGGGACCCACTTTTACTGCAAAACTCGACAACTGGCTTGGCTCTTTTAGACATATAATCATATAGATGTAGTCCAAGTTATATATACAAGCTTCTTAACTCACCCAACCACCACCCCTACAACCCTTCTCTTATTGCTTGCAGGTTGAACGATCGACTTTGCTCTTTGGGACCTAAAGTCCCACCCCCCACCCCCCGCAAAAAAACTCTCCTCACCATCACTAGACTGCGAACGGCATCACTGTTGCGCATCTCTTCAGATAACACCTTCATGAAGCATGACTGTTTTAATAGTATCAATAAATTTCAAAACAATAACGACATGCAAATTTAACTTTTTTTAAGGATTCACATATATGATCAAGTTGTGTGTTGCCTGCCTAATAGGACACTCCTCCTTATGCTGCATATGGATCTAAAGTAAAAAGTTGGTCATTAGTCACAACACAGAGTTCATATCATCCCTTTCTACTTATATTAAAGTCACATAGTCTTGGGGCTTAAACAAATAGAAGAAAAACATTTCACTTTTATGACAATAGTGATAAAGGCATCCATGAAGTTTAAAAACCACCTAAAAATTTGAGCAATCAAAGATAGGTTTATCCAATTGAACAAAAAGAATTCTTACCTTAACATAATTCATTAGGGGCGTAGTCTTCCGTAACATCAGGCATATGACAACCTAATAACAAAAAGTAAAAATCTTCATGTTCACATTGAAAAAGTCAGGTAGCAAGAGCGTAAGACAATATTACACAAGATATTCCTCAAAACTATAATTCTCACTTCATCATCTAAAGTGGGTAATGAAGAATAACAAAAGATAATGAGCATACCTTGCTAAAGTAACCCGCCAACAATGTACTATGTTGATGATCCGGTTTGAGGAAGGAGAATAGCAAATCCATCAGCTGCAAGGTAGCGCGCAAAAACAAGCAACGACAATAGAGGCGATAAAGAAAATCAGACAACGCCTTACATTATAACTGAATCTACATAGCAATAAGATTAGAAATAAATTATACACCTACGGAAATATGATACAGACGAATACCTTCTCATCCTCTACTAATGTTCTTAGTATGATATCAACCTCGCAAGTAAATATCTCACATGCAATAAACGGAAACCTGTACAAGAACATGGAACCAAAACCCAAAAGAGTCAAGCAATTTAGAAGGTATGTAAAAGTAACAAACTTCACATGTTGATTCATACTTAAATGTTCTCTTCTTTTCCACATCCTCTGGAGCTTCCTCTACGATATAGCGAAGCAATTGCTCCACCTGAGTTCTCTCTCGCAAACTGCAAATACAAATGCAGTAATGAAGTTAAACAAGTATCAATGTAATATAGATGGAAGATAAGAATGTAAATATGTTGTGTTTATTACAGCAAAGCGATCCCAAAAACCTGTTTCTTTTGTCCACCACAAAGAATTTGTCATAATTATTCAAATCCAAATGATTTCATCTTCAACTGTCTCATTTATATCAGCTAATTTTATTTAAAACTTGGTGTCAGATTTATATTGGACTTAGGTTTGACTTTCAAATATGAAGATCTAATAAATTCTGCTGGATCCTTTATGTATATACATACCAAGACAACGATACTGACTTATGGCTTTATATTGGATTGAATTACGACTATATGTGACTTAGAGATGCTGTGAATGCATTAGTGTTGCCTTCTTAACATGAATTACAGGTCCATTACAATAAAAAGTTTAATGCAAACTTTGACTTTTATTCCAAAGAAAATGATGGAAAAATGACGGGAAAAAAGTTTCTATTATGTTGCAAGCAGAGAATTAAAAGGAAAGAAAAGAAAAACTAAAAGGAAAAAATATGATGTTTCTTTTCTCTAGCCCTTCTCCAATCTGCAGAAAGTGAGATAAAAGGCATACTCAAAGTCAATCAGCTTCTCCTCGACCTCAAGGATCATACCACCCACCTCCCCATTCCCTATCTTGCAGGGACTTCCGAAAACACCTCAATTTCATCGTTATCATTATCAACACCAGCGACATCCCTCAGCCCTTGCCTTCTCCTCTTAATTCATTATCCACAACCTCGCTCACTCTTCGCAGCATATTCTCAGCTGAAATCAATACTCAAATCCTTGCAAGCGGCCTAAATTACATGCATATTCATCATTCAATCTCTGAGCATATCCGACCTCAGCATTATGGGTAATCTCTTAACGTTCAACCCCTCATCTCAGCAGATTTCCTGGACTAGTTTCCTTAGACTTCAGCCTCAACCGATTTTCTGGTCCAATTACTCTCTCTACACTTCACCATAAAAATTATTTCATTCATTTCTTCATTATCCCCTCACATTCCAAAGTCAAACAGTTAAAACTGCCTTTAAATTGTTTTATTTTCTATGTCTACTTCTCTATCTTGTTGTTTTCATATTCCTAGCTACCTTTGCAATCAAACATGTTCGTGATAGGCTAGAACATGTAGGCTTGACAAAAATGAAGTAAATATATGCAATCAAACATTGCAAACATGCAAGCTTGATAGCCGTGAACTAAGGATATCAAGTGAACAAGAACAACTCTAGCAAATTTTGAAATTGAAAGTGCTCTTAAGCGTACGCTTTAGTAAACAGGTACACATTGGCATTCAAAGTGTATGCTTTAGACAATAGGGACACTGACATTCATATAACTCTTCCATAGTCAAAGTTTCTAACAATGAATATATCTTACATATTTACTTTCTAATTTGTCAACATTTGAACAAATGAATAACTTCAACATTGAAAAAAAACATGCTAACTCGAAATAATGTGTTACACAACATCACAAGCCATGTAAGTTACATAACAATAGCATAGATGCATCTTAGCATCACACTACTTTCATATAACGTAGTATGTGCACTATTTCAATAGCATGCATAATGTATTATATAATTTTATACTTTCTAATTTGTAAGGAAGGAGGAACCATCTCACTCTCTTTATTAGTAGCTTAGTATAGCTTGTATTAGTATTTTGATATTTTATTTGATATTTTCATTTTTTATTTTTAAATCATGCCCCTAATTTATTAAATGAATGACAATCATTTTATATTTAGAAGGCTGAAATTCACAACCCCCCTCCAAAAAAAACAAAACAAAAAAGAATATTGGGGCTTTCCCCGACAAAATCCTCAATACTTTGTTTTTCCCACTAAACACCAACAAAATTTCCTACATAACCCTCAAAGTGAACAAAGTGCCCTTCGGGCCAAAAAAATCCTTTTCCCAATTGTTTCAAATATTTTTTTTACAAAACAAACCCTCACATTAGGCAATTTACAAATAAAGCCCTCCTCTTTCTTTCTCTCTATCTCACATAAGGAAGTTCGAACCTGATGTGAGGTTCTTTTTACAAAAATATTAATTCAAACGGATAAAAATTTTTGCTTGAGGGGCATTTCTATCATTTTGGAATCATCCAGAAAATGTTTTTTGTGTTTAGTGGGAACAAAAAGGAATTGGAGAGGAGTTTGTGGAATTTATGCTATTTAAAATTTAGAAACAACAAGATATTTCATCTATGTCGTGTGTTCTGCCATATATGCACCTTACAATATCAATACTCCAAACTCACGCAGATCATTTTTTTCAACATTGAATAGCTTCTCCATGGTCAAATGTGTATATAGCTAATTTGAATGACTTCTCCATGGTCAAGGCATCTAGTAGCGTGTGCATCACAGGATTTTGATAAACTTACTCATTGATGAGTGAACTTCATTGCCCCTCCTCCACGCCACCACTAAATTATATGAGCAAGATCACATAACATTTCTTCCTCCACAAACATTCCCTCCACCCAGACTATATATTTTCAATTCTATCCAGCTTGTGATTAACAAGTAAAGATAGTCTACTATACAGGTCAATTATTCAACACCTTCAAACTTTCTAGCTTTGAGGGGTTTTTACGTGCAATCACTAAAAAAAAATGTAAAATGAGCGAAACATACACTTAAAATGCCTCACGACATGGTAAAGTTCAAAAAATAAAAGTGTAAGCAAAACTGCTACTTACAAATTAATGAGGCGGGTATTTAGCGCTTTGCACTCTTGGATTATTTCATCCTCATCAAGAAGCTCTTCCAGTGTGTAGTTTTCCTTGTCCAAAATAGTATCCACCTGACAAGGCCATAATATTAGTTATAATTGCACTAATCAAAATTATCAAATAACTCCAGATTGTTGAAACAATAGTACACACAAAACAAAAGACTGAATTGTGAATTAAAAAAACAAAGTGCAGAAATTTCAGACAGCACAATAATATCAAGAAAGTGCGGCTACAAAATTACGAGAAAAACACAAAGACTCACACAGTTGACACTGGTTAGGTTTGCACATGTCATGAAGAAGCTATTGAACTTTTTAATAGTATTAGTAATGGGATACTGAAATTTGTTTGACAAAATAGGCACCATGTGCAGGGGAAAGGTCTGAAACTTAAATATGTTTTCTTTTGGGATTGATTCCACATAGAACCCATGTAGAATCACATCGTGTCACTTATTGGCCCTCAAATTTGACGTTGGTAGATAAACCAGCCTTGGATCCCAGCCTGTTTATGTATTCATGTCGCAAACAGACCACTTGATTTTTGAATTCAGATGCAAATAGTAGAATGGGTCTGTCTGCTTAAATCAAACTTGAAGGGTAATAAGTGGCGCAACACAATACTACAAGGGGTCTATATATAATTAACCCTCTGTTTCCTTCGAGTAAATCTGAAACATAAAAATCACGAGACAAGTACTTCTCTAGAGCAACAATTCACATGAGAAGTACCTAGTCGTGTGGATTTTCCTAGTAAAGTCCACATCAGTAAGTAGTTACAATAAAAAGAATAAAAATGCCAGCTTTTTCTTCTTCTTCTTTTTTGCCCCCTTTGACAATTTCATCTACTGCAACTCTGAATTTTCCATGGCAATACACGTATGCACGACAAAGAACCCAAAAAAATAAGAACGTTTCACAGCTACTTAACAAGCAATTAACTAATAAAAACAAATCAAAATCCCTAGATACAATCCCATCCGTAACAGATTAAAGCGAAATCTTTCATCGATTGAAAAAGAAAAGAAATTGTTAGAAACTTACGGGAGAGGCCGTGGACAATCCAGTCATTCGCCAAAACATCTTTGCTGGGGCCTAATCGATAGATCCCAATCGCTACGCCCTTTATGCCCTAAGACTCCTCAGATCTACGAACCCTAGGATCCAATCAATTAATCAATCGCGGAGATCTAAAGCAAGACGACGATTTGAGCTCTGCGAACAAAACCCTAGGGATTGCTTCTATCGGGAATCCAAGAGAATATGAAACCCTAGGAGAGAGAGAGAAGAGAGCGCGGATGGATCAAAATAGAGAGAGATTTGGATCGAAAAGGGTTATTAGAGAGCGAGAGAGAGAGAGAGAGAGAGAGGACCCAAGGGTAAAAGTGAGAACTTTTCCGATATTATTAGATCATCAGATTATTATTAAAATTCCTTTATTATTATATTACTGTTATTATCGTAGATGCAGATATACAGACATTACGTGGATAGTAGGTTCAAATGGGGAGATAAAACAGAAACAATACAATAAAACATTCATGTCACCGATTTCACCGAGATTATGATTTCCTCAATAAAATAATCAAACCTTATGGATTGGTGTAAAGCCAATTTGAAACTATATAATTTACTAGTGTGTAGTTTGTGCAATTTTTTTAGTTCTGCTACAGTAATTATTTTTTTAATGACATATCTGAAAAGCAAAATCAGATTTTTAATTATGGAAAAAATCTATCTCGAATCCATTAATCTAAATGTCGAGATAATTTCAATTGTTTGATCAATGCGTATATTTAAATATTCAGATGCATGCTCAGATATACACCTATTTGTGTTCTCTAAATGTATCCATATTTCTTAGATACGGGTGCGAAAACATCCGTGGATATCCATATTTTTTTTTTTTTTTGCATAGGTAGATTTACCTACTTATAGGCAACCAGAAGAAATTGGAATCTTATTGAAGTGCATCTTTTTCTAACAAAATTAATGGCACAAATTACCTTCCCATATTTCTTGGTGTGTGTACACTTGAGAGGGAGATAGGTACGTGAGTGGTGAATTTGCCGACAGCATTTCCTCCCATCGCTTTCCAGACGTACTTGCGACTTGTGATTATTTTCCGTTTTGGAAAAAAAAAAATTATTGTGACTGAGAATCAATGTGGTTGTTGTGACCTAGCATTGGATCTTGAAGGGAAGTTTTGGAGGTTAAAAAAAAGGTAAATTTGAGTCCATTTAATTAACCCCACGTAGGTCCCATTAATATAATCTAGTTATAATACTTTCCGAAAATGAATATGCCCAAAGATGAACAAATTTTCAAAACCGATCCATTTCATGATTTAATTGCAAAAAACGACCCGTTTCTATTTTATTTATAAAAACCGACCCAGTTGGTTGAAACTGGGTCGGTTTTTGAAAAAAAAATTCCCAAACTTCACGGGATTCAACTCCCGTGAAGTTTTGTTATGAAAAAAAATTCCACGGGAGTTCAACTCCCGTGAAGTTTCGTAAAGTTTTTTTCAAAAACCGACCTGGTTTCAGCGACAGTGTTGAAACCAGGTCGGTTTCTCTAAATAAAACAGAAACGGGTCGTTTTTGGCAATTAAATCATGAAAAGGGTTGGTTTTGAAAATTTTTCCGCCCAAAGATTGCCAAAATAGATAATTGGCATGAAATCTAATGATCATCCCTAACCCAACACTATTTACACGTATCGAATCATTAAATTTCATCTATAAAACAGTTGTTTGCTTATGAGTGCATGAGATGGAATTACGGACATATTTGATTAAAAAAGTAGCCGTCATCGGTTGCACAATTGCAACATTTGGGAGATAATTAGCCAAATGATTTCCTTGAGCTTTACTATACTTATATTAATTCTTTTTTCGACGCATTCTTTATTTTCCTTTTTTTATTTCTTCGCCTAAGATTAATATGAAGCCTTTCAACTCTCTATATGCTAATCGTTTGCTTAAAATTGTGGGCACAACAACATCATATGCTTAATCTCGTGCATCACGTTTGAATTTAGATAGACGAAATTTTGGATATAGGCCCCCGTCACATTTGACTTTAGATAGGTAGTTACTTAATGCTGTATTTATTCCTTGCGTTCAAGTCTAAAAGGGAAAGACAAAGTGAACGGCTCAAAGAGTTAAGTACAGAATCAAAGTTTGAATCTAATTGGGACAGTAGAACGATGTTTTTTTTCTTTTCAATAATGATATAATAGTATAGATGTTATTTTCAGATCTCCTTGATGATAAATGAATAATCATAACTGATAGATCGGAAGTACAAACACTTCACTCAGGGCCACGTAGAAAAATCACAACCAGTGAATATGGAAAAAAAAAATGCATGATTTTGTCCCAGTCAAAAACTTTAGCAGAATGTTTCATATTCAGAATTCCTAAAGACGTTATTACAAATTTATACATTTTTTTTTTTGAGAAAATGGGTGGGGTCTCAACAAGATACCCCAGCCTCTCTAATTACTCAAAAACTGTTGCTATGACCACAAAATATGCGGTGTGTAAGTTTTAAACGACTCTGAAAATAGTGACATATCCCTCTGAACAACCTTTGATCCCTCGTTCAAATCTCATCTGCCTGACCTGGAGAGTGGGAACGGCAAGCAAGACCCACGCACCCGCAGTGTTTTGTAGGGATCGGAAATTGAACTCAGGCTCGAGCCTGGGGACCCTCGTAACTTGCCAAGATTTCCCTCATACAAACAAACAAACCAAACAAAAAAAGAAGCCAAAAAAAAGCACCCAGTCTTCATTAAGTGATCTTTGTATGCAAGCTCATACATATTCTCAGATTTCCTCAGCATGTTCTAACATACAAATTGAGCCCTTGTTTCATAAATCTTAATATGCAAGATCTTTTTTCTTTTAGGGCAAATAACCTGCAAGAAATTGTACATGTGAACTACTATACCAGAGCACGCATGGAAATGTTTACCGACAACAAGAATATAGAAGTCCTTATTGAGAGCAGAAAACTAAGATAACAATAACGGGTTTTATACCAACCATAATCTGAAGCAACAAGTATCAGAAAGTCTCAAACTCAGAATGTAAAAACTCACAGCATTATGCAAGCCACACATAAAATGTTGCCATAGAGCGCATAAGCAGCCTCTAAATATATAAACTGAGCCCTGACATCATTAACCTTAACAACTTCCAACTCTGAGCAAAGAACACTGGTTTCTTTTACAGACAACGTGAGCACAGAACTTAATTTAAAAGTTAAAACTATACGACTTTAGAAAAGCACTACGCCACTGTAATAAAAAAAAATCTTTGAAAACATCGCTCCATCGAACCCCTGGACATTTGGGTGGAGAAAGAATCCTTGATCAACCGTAGCTCTGAGGACGATGATGGAGACTACTTGCATATGACAAGCACAAAAGCAATATGAAATTATGTATCTTTTTATGGGAATGTTGATGTACTATCCTAAATGTACCAAAAGAGAACTTGAACAATAGACACAACAATATCATTCTGTCTAGTCTAAGGTCAGCCAAGCAGGGTGTCAATATTATCATAAAAGAACCTTCAATGCACTTCTGCGCAATACTTGCGCAAAAACTTGCATAGCCAAGTGATGGCATTGTTTCAATGTGATTTTTTACAAAATTCTTCAATGTGAGGTCAGAATGTATGTAGTAAAATCAAATCAAGTTACCAAGTGGCTGATTTGATTTCGCTGAATGCAAATCCAAGTGGCACACTGGTTTGTATAATCAAAACATGCAAAGGATGCAAAAAGTAAGAGAGAAATCATAGGCTAAGCTGTTAAAATAAGGGGGAAAGGAAAGAAAGAAATCACCTTATAAGTGATTGATAATGGTTTACAAGAAGAAAGAAGGAATTTGCAGTACAACTATTAATTTGCAAGAAATATTCACCATCAAGGATGGGAAAAGAATATGGAAATTTTCTTGCATTTTGAATGTATAAGAAAGTTGCAAAAAATGTACTCATTGAGATTTCCAGTTTATCAAGACATTACCGGCGTGTATTTTAACCAATAATATAGCATTTCAAGCTTAGGGTGATATCCAGATTGTACAAGGTTCAATTACTCACAAAGAGATTCCAGTGATCTAGACAGTACATAAACAACTATGTGCATCCTTAACCAAATCTCAAGATTCTGAAAAGTTAAAGAGGATAAACAAATAGCAAAGCCATCAACTATAAGACACACAACTTTCGAGTCACAACCATGAATTTCCCACACTAAAGAAAGTTTCCAATCCTATAGTTATGTCATTAGTCCAACTTGAAAACATAAGGTTAAACAAATACATAAAGCTCTTAAGCAGAAAACAACAAGAAGGCAGAATTTTATTAATTAAAAGAAGGGTTAATTGTGGATAGGCCCCCTGTACCATCGCCCAGTTGTGGATAGACACCCTGTAGTTCTCTTGGTGCAGATAGGACCCTTGTACTCTTTGCCCAAGTGCAGACAGACCACCTGAGTAGTTTTTTTTTTTCACTCTTAAAAAAGTCAAAAAAGTTCACTTAGCAGGCCTATCTGCACAAACAGAACTGCAAGGGGTCTATCTGCAATTGGGCTATAGGGCTATAGTACAGGAGGTCTATCAACAATTATTAACTCTTAAAAGAAAAAGAACCATTTAAAGAATCACCTGACTACAACCATGGACCAAGTATATCACCGCCTTCTTTTTCATCACCTAAAGCATTTAGACTGAAAGTCGAATGTGCATGGTGCAGAGAAATCAGGAGGCAGAAGACTACAACAATCCCCATCACCAAGCTGCAAATCTACTAGCTTAGACTTTTGCTCTTCTATCTTATTCAGGAACTCCTTGGCTTCTTTATCTCACCTCTCTTGAGCATACTTCGAAGTTCGAACAACCACAATAAGCATGCTAGAATTTAAAGCACATGCATGATTTTTCCATGGATAGGAAAAAAAATCACCAGCTTCATCCAACAAAACTTCATAAGGCCTTGCATCATAATCATACATGTCACAACATCCGGAACAAACTCTTAAGCAAGCATATCACTAGAAACATACTTGGCTGCATGATTTCTCCCCAATCTGAATACCCCATTAATCATGATGTTGAAGGTTTTGTTGGATATTATTAGTTTTTAAACAAAGAGTCAAAAAGTAAAAATTAGGCAAGTTAGGCAATGAAGAAAAAAATTATAACATGTGCTTAATTTTTGTGATTTTTAAAGGGATGTGCCAAACTTCTTTGAAATTAAATAAAGTGGTGGGTCACACCGAAGAAAAATTAAGACGTGGGCCTCACATGCATAGTAAAATAATATTATTTTATTAACGCATAGTGTTT